TCACATCTTCTCTGTGACATGTGTTGCAGTCATGGTAAATCTCCTGAACTGATACGCTTTTTGTTTCTCTGTAAGAGAAGAGAAAGCCAAGCGCTGGTGAAACAAAGAGAAAGTGAAGTTCTCGGAAGAGGGATGGTTCTCAACCAGAAAAGAGCAGTTTGGGATAAATTAAAATGTGCAATTTGGCTTTTGCTGGTGGCACAGATTTACTGTGTGAATAAATCCACCATTCTCTAAGCCTGTGATGACAATAAATCCACCTCCTGCCGGTTCAGGCCAGCATTCGCCCAAGTGAGCAATGGGAGCATCAAAAAGAGTTAAAAGGTGGCCACCTTGCACGGCGCGAGGGAATGCGCCGCAGAGGTGTGATCTGGAAGGACCTGGGCCCCGTGGCCGGCGGTGCTGGGAAGCCACGGTGGGGCGAGCTCTGGCAGTGGAGCTGCAGAGCTGACCTTCGCTTGGAGAAAGGGTGATTGAATTTTTAAAAGCATCTTCTTAGCATAATATGACTCAAAGGGCACACGCAGCGCCCGGCGATCGCGTTGCTAGAAGATCATTCCTTCCCTAATGAAAGACGCTCAGGGCAAAAGGGTTTGTGCAGATAAAACTGGTCCCTCCTGGAAGAAAATGCCGTCATGAATCTCCTTTTCCAAGAAGCAGCAGCGAGCACAGGCTGCGGCGGCCGAGGACAGAGCGCCTCCCCGCTCGCCGGCCACGGACAGCAGGCTTCCTAGCTATGTCAGGGGCGCACTGCTGTGCCCCAGCCTCAGACCAGGGAGGCCCAGGGTTGGCATGTATTGGCAGTAAAAAAAAAATAGGGGTCAACACACGGCTCTTTTTAGACAGATTTTGTAAGTGCTCTGAGCGGGAAATGGCAAAGGGGCTTGTGAATTTCAGGTTCTGCTTCTCCTGGCGCTGTCCGAGCCTTCCACCAACACTGGCGTTTGTCCCCCAGATGTCGGGGTGCTTGTGTGCTTGTCCCTTATTTATAGAATTGTCTAGAGGGTCTGAAGGGGGGTTGAGTTTTTCAGCTGTGATTTACTGCGGATGATGGAGAAAACCCTATGCTTTCGTGAGAGTCACAAATACTGAGATTTACAAGGTTTGGGATTGAAGTCGTTTTTTCTCCATCCATTTGACAAAATTATAATGCCAGATGCCAGGGATGTGATGGTAAATAAGACAGGTGTGACCTCATGAAGTAGCTGAGGCCTGTAGGGCTTTGTGGCCTCAAGCCCCATGAGCACAGAGCTCACAACCTCTCCACCCCCCTTGCCATTCCTTGGCGTGCCGAACTCTGCCCGCTTCAGGGCCTTGGCACCTGCTATTCCCTTAGCCTGGGACAGCCGCCCCATTTGGGTATTCACAGGCCTCACTGCCTCCGGGCCTCCGCTCAGATGTCCTCTTCCTTGACCGTGCCTTGCAAGTGACAGCTGTGTCCCCTCCCATCATGTTTCTACCCTGTGCGCACGCCCGTCTTTGTCTGTGTGTGCCGGGTGACTGTGAGGTCTGTGAGGACAGGGGTGTGCCTGTTCCATCCACTTCTGCACCCAGAGCCGCACCGTGCCCAGTGCTGCGCAGGTCGCGGGCCTACGTAAGGCTGTGCCCTTGGCCTTGCCCGGAATGCGTTTCCGAGTCAGGGGCCAGGATGTGTCTGTGCTTCAGGGAGTTTCGACTCCAGCTCCAGGGTGTAGCTCAAGACCACGTCCTTGAGCTTCCTTCCCTCCTTGTCCCGTCCTCGCAGCTACGTCAGGGACCTGATCCTTTTCGCCAGCAGTGAGGAAGATCCCCGGGGTTCTCCCCACGCTTTTACCCTCCCACGTGTCCATCACAATGAGAATCCCAGCATAGCTCGCAGAGCAGAACTCCCTCCAAGCCTCGTGTTTGTTTGACCTTCCCATCCCTCCAGCTGCAGAGCAGGCCAAGGAACTGATGAGAAAGGCAAACGAGGAAAGGCACAGCAGCCTCGAGGGGGTCAGCAGAATCCCTGGGCCGCAATTCCAGCAGCTCCTTACTTTTCCTGGAGCAGCATTGGGGGTGATGACAGGAGATAGTACATCAAAGTCAGGAAGTGACCACTTGACGTTGATCACCCAAGACCAGCCATCCACAGGTGCCACCAAGTTTCCTTTGGGTGCCCTTGACCTTCAGGGGCAGCAGCCTGGCCATGGCCCGGCCTGTATTAGAGCAGCCCCAGCAGTTCTTAAAAACTGGAATAAGTCAAGAACAAATAAAATTAAAGGGATTTTACATAAATTTCAGATTCTAGCTTTTCTTGGGGAAAAAAGAAAAAAGAAAAGCATTTGGCAACACTAGGAACACAGTCCTGTATGGCAAGAATTGGCTAGAGCTGGGAGGTGTCTCCTTATTCAGTGGCACCCGGCCCCTGGCACTCAGGGTCACTCAGGGTGCCTGCTGTGGTCCCTGGGGCATTTGCATTCTCAGCCCCTTTCCTGGGTGCCTGGCGTTTTAGCTTAGCATTCCCATAAAAGCCCACAGTCCAGCAGCCCTGTGCCTGGCTGTCCTGGAAGCCAGCCCAGTAGAGCTTCTGAGGGTCTCCTGCCCTCTCCTGCCAACGCCATTCTTGCTGTTGCTGTTTGAACATTCAGATGCAGCGTTCTAGTAGGAGCAGAGTGGGAAAGTCAAGCGCTCCGACAGGGATCTTTAATAATCAACAGCTAAAGTCACGAGGAGGGAAGGATGCTGTTTTTCGGCAGGCCTTGCACCTGGTCACCTGTACATATAGAACCCTCCAGAGGTCGTACCTGCAGAGTCTCACTCCATTAGAAGCCGACATGAATGCCAATCTTTGATATTACTGTTAAATGACCCCATCCAGTTCACATCGCCAGCCCGGGCTGCCCACTCAAACTCCATACTCTTGCGTGCACAGGCAAACTCAAGAGCTCGGCTCTGATGACAAACTCACATCTGAACCCGACTTGCCCCGCACTGAGACCCTGCTCTTCCCTTCCAAGCCCCCTCCTCCCATACCCACCGTCTGCTCAGTTGACAGCGACACCATCTCCCACTTCCTCGTACCAAACCCTTGGAGGCATCCTTAGTTCCTCTCGGCCTCTCCCGCCCACACTGGGCTGTCAGGAAATCCTGCTGGCTCTGTCTTCAGTGGTTATCCAGAGTCTGGCCACACTCTGCATCCCGTCCTCCACTGCTGCCTTCTGTCACGTGGACAGCTGTGGCAGCCCCTCGCGGGGCTCAGTGCTCCTCCCCACCCTCCCTTGAGCCTGCTCCACTCAGCACCTAAGTCAGATCCAGTCCTCCCCTGCTCCGAATCCTTCAGTGGCTCCCCGTTTCACTCAGAGTAAAGGCCTCGTGGTGACCTGTCCACCCCACCCCTCTCAGGCCTCCTCTCAACCTACACCCCCCCTGAATGCTCTGCTCCTGCCCCACAGGCACCTGGCTCTTCCAGAACACACCATACGCCTCCCACCTTGGCTCTGGTGCCTGGAATGCACTTCCCTGATCTCCGGCGAGGCCCGACCTGCTGCCCTGAACTCATCTGCTTTTCATGGTTTTCTGTGTCGTTTTCCACCATCTAACACTCTATTTTTTTAATTTCATAATTTCTCTACTTACCACAAGGGCAGGGGACTTGGTCCTCTGGTCACTGCCATGTCCCCAGGGCCAAGAACAGGGCCTGGCACAGATAAATATTTGCCCAAGGGATGAGATTTAGTAGGTCAAGCCTTTTAAGCATCCCAATAGAAATATTTTGAACAGACTATATTTTAATGGAACTTTTTTAACGTGGGAAAAATCCAAACATAATAATTGAGGTGTTACAATGATCCTATGTGTCCATTACCTGGCCCTGGCAATAATCAATGTGTGACCAATTTCATTTTGTCTATACCCTAATGCGTTCCCCAGATTGTTATGAAGCAAATCCAAGTCCTCATATAATTTTATCCCTTGGTACTTTAGCATTATTTTCTTTTTAAAGCTGTATACTACTCCATTGGGTGGGTGCACCATACTTTATTTTATTTAAGCAGTCTTGGTCTTTTTTGCATAGCACTTTATATTTTATAAAACTAATTTTGCATTCATCGGGACTTTCAGAATCAACTGTAATTTTACGGTGCTTTTTTTCCCTTAAATTGGACTGTAATTACTTGGCAATACTTGTTACCCATGCAAAAACAAAACAGAATGAAGCAAAAATATTGCAAAATACCCATCCCTCTCCATAACCTTGTATATTATTCCTTACAGATATTTTGTTAGAGGGTTAATTTTTTTGTAACTTTTTATTTTGATACAATTTTAAACTTAAAGAAAAGTTGCCAGGACAACAGGAATGTCAATTTCACCGTTCACCCAGATGTTCAGATTCACTGGTTGTTAACGTTTTGCCCCAATTGCTTTTTGCTTTATATTTTTTCCCTTCACGCCATATATATATATGTATATTTAGATACAAATTGTGTATTTTATATATAAAGAAATACATATTTATGTACATATATGTGTATGCCCTCTATAAACTATATAGATAGAGGGCATACACATATATGTGTCTGTGTGCATACATATAAATATTTTCTTTAACTATTTGAGATTAAGTTGCTGACATCATTCCTCTGTACCTCTCAACACTGCAGTATGTATCTCCTAAAAACAAGGACATTCATTTTACATTACCACAGTACACTTATGAAATTCAGAATATTTAGCATTAATACTATTCTCTAAGCCACAGACTATATTTAAGTTTCCCCAAGTGCCACAATAACCTTGACAGCAGTTTTCCCCCACCCAGGACCCAGTCCCAGGGCCACCACTGCATCCAGTTGCCATGCCTGCCTAGTCGCTTTTAATCAGTTCTTCAGGCTTTTTTTGTCTTTCACGACCTTGACATTTTTGGAGAGTACAAGGCCAGTTTTTTAATAGAATCTTCCTCAGTTTGCTCTAATGGATTTTGAGCTGCACTCTGAGCACGTAATCTAAAGGAGCGTCTTCCTGATTCCTGCCCCCAGGACCTGGAAGCCGGCGGGAGAGACCCCTGTCTGCAACCCGCAAAACCGTCTGTGAGGCTGAGGACCGAAAGGAAGACGCCTCTGCCGTGCTCCGAGCCATCCAGGTGGAGAACGCGGCCCTGCAGAGGGCGATCCTGGGCAGGAAGGCCGAGCCGCAGGTGCGTCCTGGGCAAGGGGACAAGGAGAAGGAAGCGAGGAGGACACTGGGCTGCTCAGGGACCAGGCAGTGTCTGAGCAGCAGGTGGCGAGAGGAGAGAGGGGCAGTGGACATGGCTGACCCCAGACGCACCTGCGTACCACTGTCACAGTCGCTCACTGACCCGCCAGTGTTCCCATTGCTTCCACCTTCTTTCAGCAATTTGCTTGCTTCAGGAAGCCTCAGGTGGGTGCTAATCTGCCTGCAGTCTTTGCTGATCTCCTTGCAAACCCTCGAGACCTTAGACCAGGGTTGCAAACCGGTGGGTCAGTGAGGGAATGGGGTAAACAACAAGCTTGGCCTCCCTGGAGAGCATGAGCTCTTTAGCTCCCACAGTCCTCGCTGCTCCCTGTTGTCTACCCCTGGCCTGTTTCACTTGTTCCTGAAACTGCCCTGGGCATACAGGTGTTTGAGCTTGTGCCTGCTGCCTTCGGCCTTGCCAACCACCAGGAGGAGAAATGGTGAGGCAGGGCAGGGGCCTTTGGGGACACACATCTGTGTGCACATTCTTTCTCGGAAGCATGGTGTCTGACTCCCCCTGTTGAAACCCCTTTTCTTAGCTTGTCCCCCGCGATGCTCGCAGTAACTCTGAAATGGGCAGGGCTGGTTGTATTGCTTTGCTTTGTAGATGTGGCACCCAGAGAAGCAAGGTGGCTTGCTTGAGTCATGTCTTTGGAAGTGGCCATGGTCTGCCTGCCTGCAAGCCTAGGATCTCATCTACAGTGCACCTGTTCCCCAGGCTTCATCTCAGGGCTGCTCTTTTGGGCATTCATCAGACAGCACCTATTGTCTGTTTTCCTGGAGCCCTGTCCTTGCCCCTGATGTTCATGTCTACGAGATCTTGAGACTGTCCCTGCCCCTCTGCGCCCTCATCTGTCTGTGAAAAGTACGCAGTGGATGGCTCTGTTCTGACCTCACATCATATGGCTGTATCTTTCCAGGATGCAGAGGGACCACCAGTAAAACCGTGGACCAGGCTGCTGAAGGAGAAGGAAGAGACCCTTGAGGTCAGTGCATGGCAGATGACAAAGCCCCATACATGCACTCAGCACCTGATGGCCTTCCAGCAGGTCCTCACTGTGAGCCCTGACCACCAGCGTTATTGTCCTTCTGCCCATTTCACAGATGGGGACACCAGGGCTGCAGTGGCTTGCCCTGGCTCGTGAGTTGAAGCCAGAACTCACCCAGGCCTGCTGAGCCCAATGCCTTGTTATGTTTCTATTTCCTGACAAGACAACGCAGGCACAGATCTTAGTCCCTTGAATAAGTAAGTTATATCTGTATCTATGTAGGTCGATTAGGTGTATCTCAGCAAAGATGGCCCTGGCACGTAAGGCTGTGAATTAGTAAAATGTGCAGGAATGTCTCTGCTACATTGGGCCCGGGTCTGTGCTGTGTGCTCAGAATACAGAGATGGCTGAGACAGATGAGCCCTTGGCCACATGGAGCTTGCAGGCAACAGCCAATAAAGCCACCAATAAACAGGGTGACTTCAGAGAGAGATGACAATCAAAACTGCTAATGGGTGAGAGAGTGACAAGGTGTGGAACCTGTCTGATGGGGTGGTCCAGGAGGCCCCTCGGAAGGTGTGTCCCATCTGAGCTGAGCCCTGCCTGTTTGGAAGGTGCCTACGACAGGGAATAGCATTCAGAGTGGAAGGAACAGGAAAAAGCTTTGTCGTGGGAATGAGCCCAGCCTATCAGGGAGGAGGAAGAAGCCCTTTGTGTGGTGGGGACGAAGGCAGTGGGGAGGGGACACGGTGCCCAAGTGGGCTAGGGTGCTGGGCAGACAGCACCCAACAGCACCAGGGAGGTTTTCTTTTCACATTGTTCCTGCTCGTCCCGGTCATCTTCGGCTGCCACCAGCAGTAATTTCTGACAGGTCTGCAATCCTCCGAACCCCATAATAGCAGTGCAGCCATAGGATTCTTCTTCACGAAGGTTCTTCTTTCTTTTTCCTACTTTATTCCAGACCCTTTAAAACTGCTCCTTTAGACCCAGGAGCCGTGGTTCAGGATCTCTGGGCCTGATTCCTGACCGCAGAGCTCCCAACGACTAAAATCTTCTGCAGATCAGCAGCAGGGCACATTTCTAGTTTCGATGATAAATGAAAAAAGAAAGGGGAAAGGCTCAGAGGATTAAAAAAATGAAAAGATCTCACAATGTTATTGGAATTCTCCCTGGAGTCTGGTTATTTTGTAGCAAACAGAACAGGGGCTCAAAGGAGATGGCGAAAGGAAGGTTTCGATGAGAGACATTGCTCAGCGTCTCATTGAAGCAGATTGTTCCCTAGGACCTCCCAGATCGTGAGAAACTGAGGTCGCGTGGTGGGTTCTAGATGTCATCGGCTGCAGGCAGACGCTGTCACCCTCACATTCCTGTCCCCATTTCCCACAACGGGAAACAGCCTGAGAAGTGTGTGCTCTTGACCGTGGCCCCGCTGTGCCTTGGGCTGGGAGCATCACCTCGACATCTGCTTAATAAGCTTTTCCATCCTCAGCTGCTTCCCATCGCCACGGCGACTACCCCTCAGGAGCCGTCCAGGGCAGCAGCGGGGGACAAAGCCATCGACCAAGCCATTGACAGAATCAGCCTTCTGGGAAGCAGGTACTTACCAAGGCTGGGTCCAAACCGAAAGCCCCATAGCAGGGCGGTTTTTACTGTGTTATTCCAGACCCTCCTAAACTGCTCCTTTAGACTGTACCCTCCCTGACCCCTGCAGCCCTAAAGCATTAAATTGACTTGGTTTCTTTCAGGCAAATGGCCCTTGGCTTGTTAAGTTCACTCCCAACCTATATAAATCTGCAGCCTCCCGCAGGTTTCCATTGGAGTACCCCATGCAGCACAGGGGGGTGAACTTGTTCCTCGGCTGGCCTGGGCGTGAAGGTGGCCCAAAGCAGCATCCTTTCAAAGCTCTTTTTCTCTATTAAAAGTTTGTTCCAACTCAGCATTCTGTTCCATTACCGTGTAGCATCAGTTATTGGAACTGTCAAGTTTTATTATCAAAATAAAGGCTTTCCCTCTAGTCTTCAGGCAAAATTGATCTTCGGAAAGATGTGCCAGGTTGAGCTTGTGGTTTCTGAGATGCTTTGGCACACAGACACACACTCCCAGCCCAGAGCCGCCGTGCCCAGCTGTGCCCATTGTGGACTGTGCAAAGTGCCTGGCTAAGGAGCTAGAGGGGGCCAAAATCCAGCCTGCATGCGGTCACTAAGCCAAGGCCCTGACCTGGAGCTGCATCAGCCCAGAAGGGGAGTGGGGGCTTTTCCTCTGCACAGAGGAGGAATTTGCTAGCCAGGCTGAGTGCCCTCCACGTCTACGTCTACCCAGAGGGAGCCCCTTGTTATAACTTGCAGGAAAACTGAATAGGCTGAAGGCAGTGCTCCAAGATTGTGGAAACCCCAAGGGGTCCCCAAACTACGGCCCGAGGGCCACATTCGGCCCACCGAGGACATTTTTCCGGCCCGCCGGGTGTTTTTGCCGCAGCTGCCTGTCCTGCTTAGCAGGACTCGTCCCGGGCCCACAGTGCGCATGTGTGGAATGTGCGCCGCACTCTCCAACAGCCCTCCAATGGTCTGAGGGACAGTGAACTGGCCCCCTGTTTAAAAAGTTTGAGGACCCCTGCCCTAGATAGAAACCATGGCTGTGTACCCTTGTGGCCATGAATAAGAACTTGCAGTTTCTCCTGCACGTGAAAGGGCCACGAGGCTATTTTCCATGTGATACGGTTTTATTTACAGGAGCACACACATTGCCAAATGCTTCTTTCTTTGTCATCAAGATCCTTTGTGCTTCAGGGTCTTGGGGCACTCAGCCTTAAACCGAGTACGTGGGAGCATTTGCAAATGACTAAGGCAACTCTGCTGGGTTTAGAATGTCCTCAGAAACAAGAGGAGCAGAGCAGATCTCCAGACCGGGGGGCTGCAAACTATTTCTGTAACATAGTAAAACGGCAGGGGGAGATGGTGTTTGTTTCTCGGGTTATTGTTTGTTGTGACCACCCTTTAAAAATGTAGACACCATTCTTAGCTCACAGGCCATGCAAAAGCAGGCCTCGGGCTGCATTTCACCCGCAGGCCTCAGCTGGGCTGACCCCGGCTCTTGACTCCTAACAAGCTCTTAGCTTAGGGTGGTGGTCAGCGGGCTGTCTTGCCCCAGGCACGGTGTCTCCCACTGGGCTCTGATTCCATGGCTAAGTGCACGGCTGTTTATAGAGGGAGAAAGATGGCCTGCCTGCCTGTGCTTTTGAGCTGTACACAGGGTGCGAACTTTCTTCTCACACTGTTCCTTCTCCTGGAGGTAGAGAAGTCAGTGTGGTGCCTTTGACTAGAATGTTCTGTTTCGTGCGTCATTGGTTGCTACCTGTTCACTAAAACAAAATCCCATTTCAGACAACAGCAGAAGCTTCTGAAAGTCCTCCAGGCCATCGAAAGTGACTCTGCCCACCTTGGCGGGGTCGTTTCACCAACTGAGGAACAAGGACCAGACCCAGAGGTGAGGGCCTCGACTTACCGGGATTTCCAGATGCATTCTGGAAGGTCCCCTCGGAACAATCATTTCTGTCCGGTGGAGCTTGCTCTGACAGCTGTCAATTAGCACCTCTGTGCCCGTGTGTCCCCATCTCCCCACCTCCCCATCTCCCCAGCACACAGACACACGCGTGCTGGGGAGTGGAAGCAGAGAGAGAAAGATGTGGGCCGGGAGTTTCAACCGAGAGAAGCCCGTCCACACCAGAGGAAATATAAATAGCATGGAGGCCCACAGGAAAATGTCCAATACTGCCAGTAATCAAGAGATGCAAATTAGAGCAACTTCCGAGTCCCATTTGCTATCTGAGATAGTAAATTATTTTTGACGACAACCTCTAGTGCTGGCAAGGTCACCGTAAAGCCGTGGCAGCCATACATTGCAGGCAGCTACGTACGCAGGTGAAACGCCCTTGGAAAGCAGAATGGCGGCACTTAGGATGAGCCTTAGAAATACTTACGTCCTGCAGCCCAACAATCCCACCACCTTATCCCAAGGAATAAAAAGCTGTAGGCATGATGATGTCTGTCGCAGAATTATTGCAAGTAGGGAAAAATTTTTTTAAAAAACCTAAATGTCTCATAACAATGGAGTTAATCAGGAAAGCGTGATATATCAGCACAGTGCAGTAGTATAAAAAGATGGAAGCTCTCATTTATGGAGATTATGCAGGTAGAAAATGTTAAGGATATAAACTTAACTGTAAAAGGTGATGTTAATCTTCATCGAGTCCAAAATGATTGCAATGACCATACAAAGATGTGCCGTACAAAGCGTGTGCACAGAACTGGGACATCAGCTATTCATACAAAGGGAAACTGTGGTGTCAGGGTGATAGGATTAATGGCGATTCTTTTACTTTTGTACCAAAAGCAGTGTGTTCCGGCACATCCTTCTCGCCCCTGTCTTTATCCAAGCGTGTCTTATAATTATTTTGGACGGTGGTCACCAGTCTTACTGTTGGCCAATGAGGATTTAAAGTGAAGTCCTCCCCAAGCCACATGTAAAATTCATGGGATAGCAGACGGGGCTCTGGGCAGGCCTGGACTAGAGCTCCGGCTTTGAGTCCAGCACCATCATTTAGGGGTCCAGTGACCTTAGACGAGCCTCTTAAGCTCTCTGGTGCTGGCTGTCAAATAGGCTCCATAATCCACAGGGTGAGGGTGAAACAGGAAAGGTCTGTGAGGCCGTGCGGCTCCATGCCTGGCACGTGGCAGAGAGGAATGGGGAAATATCAGTTGAAGGTTTGCCATCTGGAGAAATCAAAGCCTCCCCCCCCCCGCCACGTGGAATAATTGCTTTCTTAGCTGTGAATGTTCTAAGTGTGGTGAGACTTTAGCCGTATTAAAAAGAGCTGGGATTAAGTCCCTTCATATTAATATTACAGAAGACAGAAAATCCAGGCAAACTGACTTACGCAACAAAGAGAAGAAAAATTGCAGACTCTTGTCATTGAAAATTACACAGGTGGGGCCAGGTGGGGCATGATCCAGCAGCTCACAATGTGTCTTTCCACTCTGTCTCCACAGTGTCAGCTGTCCCCTGCAGCTCAGTCCCAGCTCTGGTCTCTCCTCGTGGTCCCTAAATTGCTGGTAGCTCCCACTTTTAGACTCCACTGTCAAGAGGGAAGAGTGCTCCTCTCCATGTCAATCTGGGGTTGGCATGCTCGCACTGACCCATGCTGGGGTGCGTGCCCATCGCTGAGCTGCTCCCTCTTGGTGGCCCAGGGGACAGGACGCACTGATTCCTTAGACCAGTCCGGCCCCTCCCTGGAGTGGGAGAGTGTCAGTCCCCTTATAGCCCATGGCTGAGAAAAGAGAAGAGGTGACTTCCCCAAAGGAAAATCATCTGTCTTGGTGAGAGAGGGGGTTAATGAATGCCAGGGACCAGAAACTTCCTGGCCAGTGTACCCATCACACCCATGACGTGGATCCTATGCCAGGCAATACCGAAAGCAGGAGTAGCCATCAAGTTAAGGCACTGACAAGTTGTGACACTTCCTTAGTTAATAGATCCTTCAGCTTCTTCATTTAGAAATTCGGCTCAGGAATTCGCACATTTCAGATTGCACTGGGCAGGAGATCCAGCAGCCCCTCTGCGAGGCAGCCTGCCTCCCATCTGGCCCTCGTCCCTCCCCTTGGCAAACACCGTGAGCAGTGCCACCTCCACTCGCCCCCAGACCGACGGCTCACCTGGCCCTGGACTGCTCCTCGCAAGCACAAAGCTCATAAACCTCCCAGTCCCCTCCGAGTCGGCCAGGCCAGTTTAGCTTTATCTCCATCCTGCGAGCCTGGGACCCGAGCCCAGGGCAGCGGAGGGCTTGGCCAGGACCCCAGGAGGGGGAGGAGAGAAGGAGAGAGCTGCTGGTTTCCAGGGCTGTGCTAATCAACCAGGCCCTGTGTTTCTCCTGGGAGCTGGGAGCCGACCTCCCTCCCTCCTCCCTCCCTCCCTCCTCCCCACCCCCGTTCCCACCACGTGGCAATCAAGCCTCGTCCAAACGCACGCTGAGAGCGATAGCACGTCTCGCTGGCTATTAATTAAAAAAATAAGTGGGGAACAGTTGCTGTTCATTTGCTCAGCTCCCTGCTCACAGAGCCATTGCAGATTAGCAGCGCTAATTAACAGAGGGCATGTGCACGCAGGGAATGCACCATTTTACGAGTGACTGATCCGTGGCGACCAGTGCCGCAATCAGCCCCGGAGGGCCTCAGGAAGCCATTGCGAAGGGTGGCCGTTTATTGATGGCATGCACGCAGACTCTCAGAGCAGACGGCCTACCCGGGAAGGAGGCCGGCACTAAAATCAATGAAGGAGAGAAACAGAGAGAAACGGACACTTGCCGGGTACACACAGGGCCAGGGCTCGTGATGTGACCTTCTTGGGTGTTTGTGTCTTGCTTGATGTCCTTGGCAGAATTGTCACAGAGATGGTATCATCTCCTCTTCCCTGACCAGGCTGAGGCATGTAAAGTGACTTGTCCAAGGCAATGGGGCCTTGTCACCTTCTGTATTGGGCTGCCGTAACAAAATGCCACACACTGGGCAGCTTAAACAGCAGAGATTTATTTTCCCACACTTCTGGAGGCCGGAAGTCCAAGATCAGGGTGTGGGCAGGTTTGGTTTCTTCTGAAGCCTTTCTCTTGAGAGATGGCCACCTTCTTGCTGTGTCATCACATGGTCTTTTTCTGTGTGCACCGTCCCTAGAGTGTCCCTGTGTGTCCAGATTTCCTCTCCTTATAAGGACACCAGTCAGATTGGATTAGGGTCCAGCCTGACAGCCTACTTTTCACTTAATCACCGCTTTACAACCCCTATCTCCAAATACAGTCACACCCTGAGGTACTGGGGCCTAGAGCTTCACCAGATAAATTGGAAGGGACGCAATTCAGCCCAGATCACTTACCCAGTTCAGCAGATGTCGTGACATGTCAGGCACGTGGGCCTGAACACTGCGTAGTGACGGACAGATGTGCATGCCCAGGCAGAATCTGATGCTTTTTCTTTTCTTTTTTTTTTCCTTACCTTTTTTTCTTTTTGAGACAGGGTCTTTGTTGCTCAGGCTAGAGTGCAATGGCATCATCACAGCTCACTGCAGCCTCAAACTCCTGGGCTCAAGCGATCCTTCTGCCTCAGCCTCCTGAGTAGCTGTGACTACAAGTGCATGCCACCAAACTCGGCTAGTTTTTAAATTTCTTTGTAGAGATGGGATCTGGCTATGTTGCCTAGGCTGGTCTTGAACTCCTGGCCTCAAGAGATCCTCTCCCTTGGCCTTTGAAAGTTCTGGGATTACAAGTATGAGCCAGCCACCACACTCAGCAAAATCCAATGCTTTTTAAATATTTTTATTTATTTGCAAACTCTCAAGCAGAATACTTACTAAGTGCCAGGGTACATAGCAACTATATTTTAAATGCTTTACAATGTGAGCTCACTTAATCTTTATAATAAACACAGAGTGGGTACTATTCTTATCCCCATTGTACACAGATGAAGAAACTGAGACTCTGAAGGTTAAAGGACTTGCCGAAGGCCAGCAGCAGTGGTAGAGCTGTATTTAAGCCTGTCACGTTTTAATCCTTTGGTGTTATTTTTCTCTTCTTTCAGGACAAACTGAGAATGAGAGCGGAAGAGATCAAAGATGCTGTCTACGTGACCATGGAAATCCTGTCCAACTGGGGCAACCCACTGTGGGTGGGGCTGACAGAAGTTGAGTTCTTTGACCTAAACGACACGAAGCTTTATGTGTCACCCCATGACGTGGATATCCGGAACACAGACACGCCCGGGCACCTGGGCTACCTTGTCAACAGGAACCTGTCTGTAAGTGGAGGGGACCCTGGGTTGGTTCTTTGCTGCTATTTCAGTGCGTTCCTGCCGCCCTTGCTCAGTGTGTGATAAGCGTGTGTGTAGGGAGGGGAGGAACAATGTCATCTCCCACAGCCGTTTATTTGGGCAAAGAGGGAGCAGCCTCAAGGCTGGTGCTGGGGGTGGCCTCCACATTGTGTCCCACCCCCGAGCTCTGTCCTAGCTCCCCGCTCTGTGGGCTTTTCTTGCAGGAGCCCATTCACCCACTTTGATCCACCTTGCAGTCACTGCTAAACACAGGCCCTCAGGAGTCATTAAGGTCAATGCCCCCATTTTGTAGATGAAGAAACTAAGGCTTGGAGAAGAGCGTTGACTCGGCCAAGGTCACACAGCCAGAAGGTAGTGGAGCCAAGTTCACATCCTGCAGCCTGGCCAGGGCCCGTGCCCACACCCACTCGGGGTCCTGCTCCCCTAGGCCGTGGGGCGCACAGCCAACGAACATCGAATGTCTCTTTCCTTTAAATATCTAGCCGAGTTTTTAGAAATTTCAAAAGGTATTGGTGTTTTTTTTTCTTCCTGCCACTTGCAAGTTGGACACAAGAGACTATGAGCTAAGTTGAGCCAGAATAACCAGCTGTATGATCTTTACTACTCTGTGCTCAGCGTCGTTCATAATTATCTCCTGGGAACCTGAGAAACTGGGAACAGAAGTCACGTCTGGGCCAGGGACAGAGTGCACAGCGGGCAGGAGCGATAGGAAGACTTTTCCTTAGGTGCTCTTGTGCACCTTTTAAATTTCCTGCCATGTGCATGTATTGTCTCCCATCCAAGTACTAACCAGGCCCTACCCCTCTTAACTTCCGAGATCAGACGAGATTGGGAGTGTTCAGGGTGGTATGGCCATGGACCATATGCATTTATTGTCTATTCCAAAAAACACATTGTTGATTTGTTTAAAAGACCTGAAAATGAAAACAGCTACCACATATTTAGTTCTTGCGCTGTGCTTGGCACGATGCTAAATGCTTCACACGTAGGATCTCATGTATATCTGCATACGCAGGCTCGAGAAGCAGAAAGATCTGGGTTCAAAGCCAACCACTTCTAACTTTGTGATCATGGTCAAATCACCTGACTTCTGGTTTCCCCATCTGTAAACTGAGGATAATAATAGCTCTTACCTTGGTGCAATGCTGTAAGGATCCTGCCTGGCTCTTCCAAAGGGCTCCAAAACATCAGCTATTATTGTTTTCACTGTTACTATTATTAATAGTATTAGTAACACTAAGAAATAGATATTATTATTCCCATTTTAAAGAAGAGGAAACAAGAAAGGGGGTCTTTGAAATCCTCAGGTCTCAAGACTGAGATTTTGGTCTTGATTCTGCAGCCTTGAGCAAGTTACCATACTGAGACTGAGTATGGCTGCCCCCTGTAAAATGGAAGATGGGGGTAGACTGTCTGTGTTGATGCTTAGAGTGCCAGCAGAAACTGAGCGTGGCTCACATTAGCTCATTTTTTTAAAAAAAAAAAAAAACTTGTTTGATGCCTTTTGACTAACTGGTACACTCAGTATCACCCAGGCCAGAAGGGGACAGGCCGCATGTCATGCTGGGGTTCTAGGTGGCTCGAGCATTAGCTTGGTCTTCTTTCTTTCTGTGGGGAGGGGGAGCAGCAGGGGAACATGAGATTCTGCCAGAAAGATCTTCCCGTCGGACTTGAGGTTCTGGGGAAGATAGTGCTGTCCCACTTAGAGACTTTACTGATTTGGCCTTTGGGTACAGCTGTCACCTTCCACGGCATCAGAAATCATGACTAACTTGTGTCCTTAGGCTGGGTCAGGACTCGTGGCTGTGGGCTACTAGCTGACAGGGAAGAAAATGAGAAGAAGAGATGGAGAAAAAGAGAAAGTTTCATTCACTTAGTACCTACAACAAACAGTTGGTGAGGTATTTTGGCAGCGTCTGCTCGTCTGTCCTCTGTCACTCTGCTGGAGATGTGCAGTCCCAGCAGGGGAAGGCTGATGGCCCAACCTGGCTGGGGGCAGGGCGCACCTTGATGCCACTTCCACCAAGATACCCCAACAGGGCACGGAGGGACTCTCCCTGGAGAAATTCAAGATTGCCACCTTAAAAATAGGCAGGCTCGATGCTAGATAGCCAAGACACAGCCATGCCAGGGTAGGATGGGGTGGGTCTGAGCCCCTTCCAGATGTGCAGTTCTGCGATCCGGCCTTAGATGAAATGGGCTCCTGGGCAATGGCTGCTCTGATGCTTTGGCCTTTGCCATCCCGGCTCTGCCTCCAGGTGGAAGTCTATAGGCTCCAGTGATTGCTCCAGCCTTCGCCACACTCCCCTGTCCCCCTCCTTTAAAAAACAGTGGCATGTTGGATGCCTGCTCTACAGAACAGAGAATACCACGGGCCATAAAAAGCATCGTTGGATTTGATAGGAGCCAATTCTAACGTTTACTCTCCCCTTTCCTCTGCTTAGCAGGGGCTGAGGAGCGTTGCCATGTGATGGCCCATAGTTTTGGTGGGTTTGGGGCTTTATATTTTTTGGCCTTGAGGTTGGGGCATGAGGCAGCTTTGTCACCCTGGGCTGCTGGATCTCTGTGCCCAGCTTTGGGTTGGCTGGCCCCCTGCTTCCCTAGTGCATGGTTCTCCTTGCTGGTCACTCTGTGTACCAGGCCTGGGGCGACCAGAACGTGCTGCCTCTCAGAACCATCCAATCTCGCTGGCATGTGCCAGCACGGCCTGGTGCACCACCACATTTAACCCTCACGTGAACCTTGGGATGACTCTCCCCGTTTTATAATTGCTCGAGTCCATGCAGCGCTGGCTGGTGGGGCCCAGCTGCCAATGGAGGTACCTGGAAGTGGAGTCTGGGTTCCAAAAAGAAGGTGCTTCGGTGGGGGGAACTGGGTCATGCAGAGGATGTGGGAGTGCCCCAGGCCCCGTGCAAACCCACCTCCTTTCTGTGCCCATGCCACCTCTCTCCCTGGCTGCAGCCTGGCCCATGGCCTTGAGATGAGTCCAAATTTATACACCCAGCCCTCCCTGCCTGTTCCTCTAAGTTCCTGACATGAAGGTCAGCTTCCTGCTTGACATCTCTTCTTGCATCTCCGCTAGCCATCAGAGATCTGAAACCTACGTTTTGATTCCTCCTGCCCACACCCCCACATGGCTTCCTCTAGAATTTCTTGTTTAGTAAAATGGCATCGCTGTCTGCTCAGATGCCCATGCCCACCACTTAGAGTCTTCCTCGATTGCCCCAGGAAGTTATAGATTGCCTGTGCAGATAGAATTAATTTCTAAATAAAAAGTTAAAAATATACATTACACATTTTTCTGTACTAGGGATATCGTGTGAACAGGACACTCTCTCCACCACCTTCCAGCACACCAAGTCCTGTTGCCTCTACCTCCCACATAGAGCCTGAATCTGGCTCCTTCTCTCTGTCACCACTGGGATCTTCCAAGTTTGATCAGCCGTCTCCTCTCACCTAGACTGTTAAACAGCCTCTTTCCTTATTTTCTTCTTTCGTTCTTTCCCATCCATTTCATTTCCCACTCTGTATCCAAAGTGATCTTTTAAAAATATCAGATTGTGCCCTTCCCCAACCTAAAGCCCCTGCTGTGACTTCCCCTTACCTGCAGAGATAAAGCCCGGATGCCTCCCCGTGGCCTGCGGGCTCTCTGCAAACAGGCCCCCGGCTCCCAACGCCCCACATGCAGGCCCCGGCAGCCACAGGCCTGCCTTCCGCTCTCTGACCTGCCAAGCTCATGCCAACCTCCCCAGAATGCTCTTCCTCCAGATTCTAAAGTGGCTTCTCCACAATCATATTTCAGCACAAGTATCACTGTCTAAGCAAGACTTTTCCCGAACACTCTGGAGGAGCCCTGTTTCCTCCCGTCCCAGTCACTATCATGGCACCAGTTTGCATTTCTTCAGAGCACATCTCACTATAAGAAATTATCTGGGGGCAGGGAGGAAGGCCACGTGCAGTGGCTCACATCTGTAATCCTAGCACTTTCGGAGGCCAAGGTGGGAGGATCATTTGAGGCCAGGAGTTCGAGACCAGTCTGAGCAATGTAGCGAGACCCCATCTCTACAAAAAATAGAAAAATTAGGCAGGTGTGGTGGTGCACACCTGTAATCCCAGCTACTCAGGAGGCTGGGGCAGGAGGATCACTTGAGTCCAGGAGTTAGAGGTTACAGTGAGCTATGATGATGTCACTGCACTCTAGCCTGTGCAACAGAGCGAGACTCTATCTCAAAAAAAAAAAAAAAAAAAAACAAAATCAAAGAAAGAAAAGAAATGATCTGTTCACGTGTTTATTATGTCTTATCTATCCTATTCACACTACGTCCCCAGGACATAAATATATACAATACATATTTTTAAACTTTTTTTAGATATAATTATAGACTCACAGGAAGTTGTAAAAATAATACAAAGAATAGAAAAACAATAGAAAATATCAATGAAACCAAAAGTTTTTTCTTTGAAAGGGTCAACAAAGTTGACAAACCATTAGCTAGGGTGATCAAGAAAAAATTCAAATTACTCAAATTAGGAATGATAGAGGGGGCATTACTACTGACTTTGCAGAAGTTAAAAGGATTATAGGGAAAATGAAATTAAGAAACTATTCTGTTCACAACAGCACCAAAAGAAGAAAATGTTTAGTAATAAATTTAACAAAAGAGGTACAAAATGTATAATAGATCAATGGAATAGAATTGAGAGTTGAGAAATAAACCTATACATGCATAGCCAATTGATTCTGACAAGGGTGCCAAGACCATTCAATGGAAAAACATTAGTCTTTCAAAAAGTGGCATTGGGCCAAGTGCATTTCCACATAAAGAAAATGAAGGCCGGACAAGGTGGCTCACGCCTATAATCCCAGCACTCTGGGAGGCTGAGGTGGGAGGATCACTCAAGGTCAGGAGTTTGAGACTAGCCTGAGCAAGAGCAAGACCCCATCTCCACTAAAAAATAGAAAGAAA